GGGGCTGGGGGGAGGGGGTTAGGGGGAGCCTGAGCCCCCCCTATAATTTTGAAAGACTGTAAACATCTTGTACCAAATAACACAAATCACACTTGTGTAATGTAATTGTCATATAATATCATTAATTAAACAAAGTGACTACATGACCGGCAGCCGGCTATCTAGTAAACTGCCGGCTATATAGTGACTATAATTAAAGTTGAATAAACCGTTCCCTAACCCCAAACCCTCCTCTAACCCTAACCCCTAACCTAACCCTTTGAGAGTTAAAAAGGCGGAGAAAAAGTTGAAAAAATTTTAAGAAAAAAACATGCTAAGTCAGACGTACGCAACACCTTTGCCGTATGCGCTAACGGCAAGCTTGGTAAAACTAGTACAAATGTTTTTATACGTAACTATAGTCATTATATAGCCAGCAGTTTACTAGATAGCCGGCTGCCGGTCATCTAGTCACTTTGTTAGGCCAATGGAACTGTGGATTCTGTTTACCGTCCACTGCCCGCATGTGCTTGCAACTATCGCAAGAATTTTTCATTATTCTTAATTACTTTCATTATTGTCATTATTTTTAATTCTACGCATCGAAACTTTCAAATATACATCAAATCATCAAATCTTCGATATAAAAAGCCGCACATCGCTGATATATGATGGATCAGTCGGCATTTGTTCGGTACACTCGGAAATTCGCGAGTCTGACATGTGCAAATTCGAAAAAAATGGCGTGACAAAGAAATTTTCAGCAAAAATTTTCCCAAAAATGATAAAAGAATGTTGGACAAAAGCAATGATGGTCGAGATCAAAAGAAAACGATTTAAGGATCATTTTTGGTCAGAAAATAGATAATAACAAAAATAATGAAAAAAAACCGCATCAGATTTTTAAAATTCTCGGACGGTAAACAGAATCTACAGTTCCATTGGCCTTAATTAAAACATTGTAATTTAATACCATTATTTAAAACAGTGTTTTTAAAACCTAGTTTTTACAAAATTTTGTGTGTTCTCAGAATGCTGCAAATGCCATGCTGCAAATGCCATTTCCAGGGTCCAAATTTAAAAATTTTCCGTGGGGTATGCCCACGACCCCAATATTTCATAAAGTGTCCGCCACTGATACTGTTCCACGTTTTACTATATATTCAGGAAAGTCTACACTATTAGATTGTACATTTATGTATAAAGTGTGTATGTATATATTGCAGGACCCCACTGAAAAACACACTAGTAATGTGGGTATCCTGGATAAATATAATTATAAATAAATATATATTACTATCCAAAATGTTATAAAAACTGAAAAACATGTACAAATATATAACATTTTACGTAGAATTCCTATATTCTAGCTAAAATATTACCACTTACACATTGATTTTCTTCTTTATGTCTGATCGGTTCATCTTTACAGCTAAAAATGCAGTGGTTGTGTGAAAACGTCAAAGAAATAAAACAATATTTACGACTTCGTCCACCATCTTGGCTTTGTTGCTAGGCTCGCGTAAACTAAGTCTCAGACCTCTAACAACACGGCCAATGGCGGTCGTCTTTGAAATTTACGAATATTTCAATCAAATATGGACTTTTTAAACAATCATATGTAAAAACCTGTTCATGGTATAATATTTTCGCAACGTTAAAGGTTTGTCAAGTCAACAAAGGGACATGATGCGTAAAAGAGACGTGGATAATTTTCTGAACGTGGTGAGAGTTCCACTATTTATAGACGTATACATTGCATTGTCAAATGTAGCTGATATATTATTTAAAGTTTGCTGTGTTTTGTTGTGTATAAGTATTTCACCTTGGACATTAATATGTTTTTTTTCAGCTTCTGTACATGTTTGTCGTTCTTGTTTGGATATTTGTTATATATGCTGGTTATCATGTGGCCAAGGACAGTTTGAAATAAATTGTAAAACCTGCTCTGCTGCCTTCTGGTATCGGTATTTGGTAAAAAGTTAACATGGGATTAGTGAGGAGTCAGAAATTCAGCTTTGTAAACAAGACAACCATTGCAAGACTTGCAAGGATTTGAATTATCCTAGTTTATTCAGTACTATTGAGTAGACCATAGTCCATAGTCACCATGCATGTGGGCATATGAGACATGGGGCAGAGGGCCAGACTGCTAGGTTGTTTGCCATGCTTGCCAAAGATCTTCCGTGCTCAAGTTTGCCATTCTAGGTGCGTACCTTTATTGGTAACTTAACAGTTCAGACAGAGGGAAATTGATGAGGCCATCAGACTCGCAACAAGTTGCATGTTCTGTTGCACGTAACAAGCCTGTATTAATCTTCCCATGCAGTGTTGAAAAAAGTTGCAGATAGTCTTTTATCATCATAATCGACCCTGTAACAAACCGATATACTAACTTGATTGTTCTAGACATGTCAGAACAACTGGGAACAAGCAGTGTGAACACATCCTGATATTGGCTAGACAACACATTCTGCAAATCTGCAAATAACTTTCAACTTATTTGCAGATCTGTAACAGCTTGTGCATTTTTATGTTTGCAGTGATAGGCAGTAAGTTATGGTTTATTTACAACAAAGCCTGATTCTCATATGCCATTGTTTGAGATCAGTGAAGAAGAGCATAGACAAAAGATTTTACTCATCAATGATCAACGACAATGGGCATCGCTGACGTCGGCCACATATAAGAATCAGGCTTAAAGGACTATTTAAGTCTGTGGAATGTCATTACATCAGCCAGTGGCGTAGCCACAGAGGGACAAGGCGGGGTGAGTCTCCCCCCCCCCCACTCTCCTTCAGAATCACCTTTGAGAGATATTTAAATCCATTGAGAAGGGGGGGGGGGGGGGACATGTGCACAATGCAACGTCCAACTTAATACCACAAATTTGTCACAATGTTTTAATTCTACATAAGAATTAAAGCACATTTATTTTTATTCTTTTACAATGCCTTGTTTATTGTTTTTCTAAGTAATTCATTTCTTACAGACAATTTTTTTATTTTTATATATATATATATATATATATATATATATATATATATATATATATATATATATATATATATAAAAATATATCCTATTCCTCGTAAGGATTAACGATCTTGCCAGCCATTCTCCGTTGAGGCCTAGTAATTGGATGTTTGTTGATGACGTCACCCTCTCCCAAGCCATCCATCGTAACTCCCCCCTGGAATACAACAGGATCTCAACTCTATCGATGAGTAATAACATGAAATTACACCGTACGTAAATGGCTTACATAAACAAAAGGAATATTGTTCTTGCTTCGTTCTTTAGAAAATCCATTCTATAGACCCATTGCACATGATGTCACAGCGCCGGTGACGATGATCTGGGGGACAAATTAGCAATCTATGCATAATATTACTTTTGTAAACAAAGCAAATTTTGTAAAACTTCATAATAATTTTGTATTAAAATGGTTAATTTTTGTGCTGTATATGGTTGTTGAACCCGAACAGATATTGTTAAGGAGCATCTGGAGGACACTCTAAGAATTTGTGACGTTAGTGCAGTGGGTCTATAGCTTATTCTTTTGTCATTGTCATAATCAACCAATCACAGAACATCCTCCTAGAGCTTCGTGTGCCAACCCAAAAAGTGCAAGGACTTACTTTACCATCTCTTTTCTCCTCAACCCTCCAAAGAACTGTCTTCTACATTGTCGATCAACTCCCAACCTTTAGAGAAGGTCACCTGTTTTAAACTGCTAGGAGTCCCCTTACAAAACGACCTAAAATGGAACGCCCATGTTGA